TTTGCTAACGATATTTCGCAGCGATTAAAATCGTCGAACGTATTACATTCCGTAGGGCGGGATACTTGTAACAGTGCTAGTTGCGTTTTTGCGTTCGCCCGTTACGACGTCGAATCGCGTCATCCGCGGTTGCGGGCGAAATTTTGCAGCGCGAAATTTATAGCATCGTCGTGACCGGGAATGCAGTGGCGTTTATTAATACCGGCCATTAATGAGGATCCTTGAAGCCCGGTGACTCGCCGCGAAACGTGCGGCGGCATATCATTTTGTAATCCAAACTACCGCGATTGTTGTTGACGGCGCGGCGGTGTCGAGTGTGTGTCACGCGTCCGCGCGGGGAAATAATTTAAGATTCCTCCGCGGCGGGGTAAGCGGAGACGCGTCGTGTCGCGCGTGTGAGAGCGACCATTGCCGTGCGATATCAAGTCCGTGATAGCGGCCGGCTAATAATTGTTTATCACGACTAGGATTATGGCGACGAGGACAGCAGGTGTTAGGTGAGGTGCGCATATGTCGCGGGTGTCCCAGTCGTTTTTATCCGTTGTCGAGAGATTAACGCGAGAGCTGTTCGCTCTCGCGAACTTTCTCGTATACAAGAAATCGTTAACGAGACGATCGAGCGAGTTAGTTGTTGCTATCTATCGATTGCCGTTGACGATCTCGTTAGCCCGCGTTATGGTTGTTATGGATTAAGGTGGATCGCGCGCCCGGCAAATTTTGTTTACATTCAATTGAAGCGTAATTAAATGACACGAGTGGTGATCTCTACAGTGTGTTGTCCTCCCTCCGAATATTAATAGCGGTGCCTCAGGCGTGCAAAATGTGACCTTTGTGGCTTAGGGCGCTAGGAGTGACGACGAAACGCGTCCACTTGACGTTATCTGAATAGTCTCCAGTTTCATTGTCTATATAATCGGCATCTCATTTGATTCGAAGCTTGTTTTTAAAAATAGATGTCCTTCCTAATCGCGCGCTATTTGATATTCCGTGTGTACTTTTGTACTCAATTTTCAACATGCGTATTTCTCGACGTACACTGAAAAGAAAAATTGCCGTCGAATAAATGAAATTATCGGTTTTGATCTGGTAAACGAACCAGAAGCGAACCTAGCACAAAGTACATAACAATTATTTAACATATTAGTTAGCAAATGTTACGAGTATATATTTTGCTTTATTAATTTACTTACTCGACAATGAAGCCGGCAAACGATGTTGTTAATTAAAAAGCACGATATATGCGAAATCATTTTAATTCGGATAATTGGTCCGAACTGTACTCTCAGGTGGATTCAAATTAATTTTTTTCCGAGCTTTTCCGACGGGTAAATCCACCTCCCGCAAACGTCAGCTACACCGCCCTCCCATTTCATTTGATACCATGTTGACACCGTGACAGGTGTCAATTTGCCAAGTGAGAGAGAGAAAGAGAGAGAGAGAGAGAGAGAGAGAGAGAGAGAGAGAGAGAGAGAGAGAGAGAGAGAGAGACCGACCTTTTTCTCAGTGTACAACAACGGGGTCTGGCTGGCTCGGTCGATCGCGCGCTCGCCCGCCGAACACCTGCGATACCGTTTCTCCTGGCGATCGATGGACAATCCTGAAACCGGTGCGTCGTGCCCATCCGTTCGTTCACCGTTCTCCCTTCCTTCCGTCCGGAGACCACCGCGACGGCGACGGTGGACGATGTCGCCCACCGATGGCCGAGGCCGCACGTCGACGACCGTCGTCCCGCTCTTCGCGTCCGGCGAATCTTCCCCGGTCCGTCCTTACTACCGTTTCGCCGGAGACTATCGGCGGCGACGGTCATGGCACGCGCGTTGCTTGGCTACGCCACGCGATTCGCGGCCAGGCACGGCATTTAGGTATAGTTCACGTGTGCTTGCAACGAGCAGCAACGACGCCGCCACCGCCACCGCCGCCTCCGTCGCTCCCACCATCCTCGTCGACTTCGTCGTCCCTGTCGCGTCACGCTCTCCCTCGTCCTACCCTCGCTCGACTCAGATAACCCACCCTAACCGCCGTCTCTCTTTCGCCACCGTCCTCACGCAGGGAGAAAGAGAGATGTAAGAAGAAGGCTCTACACACCACCTTTGTTATACCGGCGCGGCGGCAACGTTGAACCACCCCGCTCGCGCGCCTAATCGGCCCACGAGGGTGGATTTCGGCCAGCTGGCTGCGCGCAACGTGGCTCGGTGTAGCGTGGCGTGGCGTGGCGTGGCGTGGCGTGGCGTAGCGTGGTGTCGGATCGCCAGTCTCTCGCCGTGGCCCGATGTCGCCACATAGGTATCACGACGGTATAGTATTTCATCTGAGCAAAGTGTCGTGCGAGGGTTTCGATCGAATCTCTCTGGCGCAATTGGCTTCCCGATGCCAGGAAATTGATGGGTCCGGCGTGTGTGCGTGTCGGCGGTGTGCGTCGTTTAAGCTCTTTGCGTCGTCGATCAACTCTTGTTTGCGGAAAGCAAAGTCCACGTAACGCGAGAAGAAATCGAATTGCGGAGAATTAAAATTGCCTCCCTCTGTTAATGCAGTTTATCAATCGTTATAACTAACGAGTTTAGCGAAATATTGAATTGAATATTATTTGCGAAATGTAAAATTAAATGTCATGTGCAATATTTGGCGAAATTTAGAATTTAATATTTAAATATGAATTTTTTTATGGACAACTATATACTACGGTTAATACAATTTTTACTTGTCGAATAAATTTCAAGCAGAAGCTATAGATTTCACCGTATATTTTTATCTTTTTAAATATAGTGAAGTTAATATCCGTGATGTTTTTTTTTTTGGTTCTGTTCTGAAAATCTATTTAATATTTTAATACGTGGCGTTTTCAGTCTTCGTGTCATTCAGCGTTCGAATTTGTCCTGTCCAACTATTCGGTGCGACAAATGTTAGCATTTTAAGTGAATGCATATAGCACGATGTGTGCCAGCTAGAACTTCGTTACTTGTTTCGCGCACGAACTACGATCAATCTCCCGATCTCCAGAATTCTCGTTTGCTATCGCGTAATCTGCTGGCCTGCAATCGATTTTTTCGGGTTGTGTACTGTTCCATTTCGCTTAAGCCGCCTTGGCTTCGTGCACGAATGTCATTAGAGCTGCCTAAATGCAAAACACGTCTGGTATGCACGTGGAATGAAAAATAGCGGCGCACGAAAACGCCGCCGCCGCGCCGGTCGGCGGTTTGGCTTTTCCCACAACTTAAGCCATAACTCGACGTTAGGGGTCTTGATTACAGCGGAATAAATTAGCATGGGATATATTATGATTCATTTGCGGGGCGGCGCGCGGGATCGAAAATCCAAAGTGCCTATTCTCGGCATTAAGCGCCGAGGTGAGGTGCCAAGTGTTGTTTGCGTAGTAATCAGAACGCACGCTCCGTCTAGACTGGCGGAACATTTCGAGAGGCGAAAGTGCTAAGCTTAGACCTCGCCTAGGCGTCCAAGGTGTATTTCTGTGCAATTCGACAGGTGGCCCTTAGACCCACCGCGATAAGTAGCTGCACTCGATGACGCCGCGTTCCCTCTTTACGACGCGACGGCAGTGAGGTCGAGATGAACGCTCGGTCATCTAAAAAAAACATTGCCCTCAATTGGTGATTTTTTTTATTCTTAAAATATTGGTCCGCGCGCCTTTCTATAATATACATGTATCAAAAGAGATAACGAACCTTCAACTATAGATTCTCTTATCAATAATTGATTATTTTTATCAAGTAGCATAAGATCTCAGTGACTGAACACGTATACCTAAGTCTGAACACGTACACAAAACTTATTATAATTAATCTCAAATGCTTTTTTTATTGTAATATTATTATAATATTAGATATAATTTTACAATTAAGTTTTGATATTATAATAAAAAAAGGATTTCAGATTAATAAGTTTTGCGTAAATGTCGGGACATAGGTATACATATCCGATCGTATTGGGACGTTTACCTTACATTTAATTTATTGCCTGTGTTGTATTGCATCATTACGTAGTTAATGTGAAAGTTTTGAATGCTGCTTGCAAACGACAACTAAATTCCTGTCAATGATGGGATCCGCGATTTAATTCGGCTTTGTCGTCGGAAATACCACGGTGGCATTGTTTCGCGCGTCCGCGCGAATTTTCCTCGCTGTATTTACATTGGCGATAAACCGAATTGCATCTGTCGGATGTATCTCGACAGATCGGTTCGCGAGGGATAAAGATTTGCCCGGTTTTCCGACGGAAATGTTACGTAATATCGCATAGGCGACGCGCGCCTGGCAAAGGTCCATAAATCCTCGTGGAATCATAAAGCGGAAGAGCAGGCGCTTTTACGCGCGTGCATTTACGTTCGAAAACACTTTCGCCGTGGTTTCTCCGTCATTCCCGTTGAATGGGGAGAAGGACGGCAGCGGCGGCGTGTTTCCCTCGTGCCTGGAGAATCGCCGGAAGTACGCGGGAAACGTTTCCTTTCGGTCGTCCGCTGTCTAATCTTGAGATATATGTATATGTACGTGCCCGCGTCTTTATGCGAACGTGCTTTCCACGTAAATCACGTCTTATCTCTCGCGTGTCACCTTCCGGGACGAGGAGGGGAGGAGTAGAAACGCTCATCTTGTTGCGCGTTTAGTAGTAAATACGACCGTCTTATCTCCGTGTCACGATCGAAGAGGGAAGTGCGAAAAGATAAAATACAAAGGAAACAATCTCCGAATGAAAGTGAGAACGCGTTCCTATGATTTTAATGTCTCTTATCTCGCGCCGATCAGCCTCTTCGAAACGGGGCCAACTTCGAGCGAATCGCACATTTAGCGCTGAAAATAACGGTAACGGATCCCGCATTTATTGCTGCTCGCCGGTTTATTGAAATTCGCAATGTAAGCGATGAACGAGCTCCACAGACGCGAGGGGGAAGAGGGGCTATCGTTAGTCCGGTTGTCCCGGTTAACACGACGCGTTCGCGACTGTCTGCGTAATCACATCCGCATGATTTTCGTTTCGTTTATTTGCAGACTCGTCAGAATGGTGGGTAGCATGCCCAGCGGATGGATGAGGAGGATCCTCCTCTTCCTCGTCCTGATGACCGGTGTCCTGCTGATCGCCATGTACGCCCACGCGCCGCCGCTCGCATCGCTCCAGCCGTTCGCGTCGCGTCGGTAAGTAGTCTCTTTATAATTGCAGTGAGTTTGTGAGTGATTGCAGTGTCAATTGCCTTCCAAGCAGACAATTTGGCAAGTGAAACACGAGCTAACATAGTATCTTTTGAGATTCTGTTGAGTAAAAAATAAACTCGTAGATGCGTTGCTCGGTATGCCTAAAAAGAAGCGAGCGGTCTCTCTGGACTATGCTCTAGTGTGTCTATGTGTTTCACTCTGATTTCAATGCATACAATTTTTTTTTTAATAAGTAGAAAAATACTCCGAGAGAGAATTGTAGAGACAAGTCTGCGAAGCGCAAGATCGCTTTTTTTTCGCCTTCTTTTAATTTCTGTGTTTTCTGTTAACACGCAGCCAGCGCAGGTCCGTTGGCCCGCGTTGCGCGATATTAATCCAGTTGCCTCTTCTGATGATTTTTCTTACACTGCATGTTTTTTTTTTGTTTTTTATCTCGAATTTATTTCGCACTCGCAACGCACGATGAATCCGTGCGTCGGAAGAAGACTAGAGGACTTGCAGCGCGGCTTGGTTAATTACCTGGTGGGTAATGATACCACGATCGGACCCGGCGAACGGCTCTACGAGTATCTGGAAGAGCCTAGGTAACGGACAATCCCCGACCCCGGGGGTTGGAATCTTATGCTAAACGAAATGTACCCGCGTATATTCTTTCACACCTTCCACCCGAAGCCCTACATTAATCTGATCCCTCTATTCACGGTGTTCGGGGGATGAAAAAGCACTTTTGAACAACCCTCTCTACTTTCACGGTGTTGCAACGTATCGAATGGCACTATACAAATAAAAATTCGAATTGTTACGAAAAAAAGAAGGAAATGAGAACAAAGTTTTGCAGGAAAAAAGCGTGATGGCGCTCTCTTTGTCTCTCGAGTTCTAAATTTTATAGAAGAACGAAACTCGTTTGCATTTCAGAGCGTAATTCGAATCTTCGATTTGCAAAATGAAATCGGTGTAGCGATATGAATAAATTATGTGTTAAAGATTTCATTTATACGTGATACTCTATATACATATATAATTCTAGCGTCTATAAAAGAACCAAAATCTCAAGTATGCACATTTAACAAGCTGTCTAGACTCGTTCGACAAGTCGAATTTCTCGTGTTCAATAATATCCTTTCGCTTCTCGTTTGTTTTTTTTTTTCTTTTTCGGAACCAGTCACGTGCCGTCTGATGCCAACGTTGCTCTCCCAATTAAGGCGCCACCCCGGGCATGACCTGCAACACGTCGGCCGCCTCAGTGAACGAATTCCCTGAAATGTCCTGAATTTCCGCGTGCCATGGGAACTCCCGTGTACCCCTCCCCCGGCTCGGTGTACACCTCTCTTTCTCGCCCACCTCTCGGCGACGTCGCACCTCATTCTGACGCTCGTCCGTTTAATCCACTCGCCCGAGCACACGCCCGTCATACTAAACGCACGCCCGCGCCCGCTATTGTTACGCACCATTGTCTGCACCGCGTTGCGCGGATTGTACGGTTGCTGCATTTGTCCTGACCCGCTTCGCGCGAGAGACCCGACTTTCCCGGCCTTCCACTCCGAAAGCGGTACTCACCTTTGCCTTTGGAGGCGAGGCAAACCCGGCTTGCGCGTTCGCGTGAAGACAAGAAAAAAAAAATATACGATTGTTTTAGAAAGAAACCCTGCAGGAGAACCTTTCGTCTCCACGTAACAATTGTCGATTTCTGGCGCGCGAGATACAATCAATTAGTTCACTGCATCGCGAATCGATGTCGAATACTCGTCGCTTCACTCGCGAATCTACCTCTCAAATTTCATCGGGTCGCTCATTTTTCAGTGCTTTCTCTATCGAGGCATTTGTTCATTTCTTCCACCTCGAGCAGAAGGTTATTCCGTTCCATGATTAGCCAGCTATTTTCTTGAGCCTCTCTCTTCGTTCGGCAAACATCGCTTTTTTCCCTCTTCTTCCCTCTCGCTTTTCTAATTCGAACGATGCCGACGATATCGCTTTTTGCACTTTCATTTCTCTTGCCGTCGTAATGAGCAGCTTTTCATTTGCCAGAGGTACGATATTATCAGCTTGACCGACATAGGGAATGAGTCGCGGAAGGTAGATCTGATCTTTTTCTTCTGCCAAAATGAGTTGGACTGTCGTGGTTCTTGATTTATGAAATTGCTTGCTTGTACATTATTAGACGAGTTACTCGCAATCTAACAATAAAACAGTGTTTATTTTAATGTATTATTAAATATTTAGTTAATGATTTTCTTTAAAAAATATCTTTTTATTAAGATAAAAACATTTCTTTATGTTTAATGCACATAAAATAATATGTATAAAAAATAAATTTAATTTTTTGTACAATTTTTTCCTAAGTTAATCATTTTTTATACTAATTATTTATAAAATTATTAAGCTACTTATTGATTTTCTTTTGTTTCCTTTTGTTTACTTTATGTTTAGATATTGCACTTCTTATTATTGAAGCAATAATTTATTAATACATTGTATAAACAGAATATTATTAACTGCAACATATCAAGTTTGTCAACCGCATTTCGATCAAATGGAAATCTGAAATAAAATTGCATGTGGTGTCTCCTCTCTCTTGTACCTATCATTTTTAACATTTTCCACATTTTCGATTTGTGAGACAGACGTCTGTTGCAAATCGGATCGCCTAAAGAAAGAATATGATTGTTTGGTAATCCGTGATATGACCAACGATTGAATATATACATATTTGAGAATTTATCAAAGTAAAGTTATTTCTTCTTAAGGAAAATATTTGTCGAATTTTGATATAAAAAAAAATATAAATATATAAAAAAAATGATATTCCTCAGTCGTGCCACAGATTGCCAGATCAAAAGATATTCTTTAAACTTCGTCGCGTAAGGGAGCACAATTATGAATCGTAGTACGAGCTCAATTTTCACTCGATCGCAGGGCATTTCAAAGTCCGTGGTCCTGGGCGTGTGTGGCGAATCGATGCGAGAGGCGAGCAGTAAGGTCCTCGAGGACATCCTTGGCGACTTGCACCGCGCATTGCGGAGGGAACACTCGGCTGTTGTGGCCCAGGCCGACCGAGAACATCGTCCTCGGCGATGACAGCGTCATCCTGCATCTTCAGCAGATCGAATTCGTCACCGTGAATACGAGCGACCAGGAGACGAAAGATCTGTTGGAGCATGCAAAGGACGTCTTCATCGGTGAGTATTGAAAAGTTACCAGGATAAGAGAATATCAGAACGTTCACCTAACGTTAAAGATACTTTACAACAGTTCCTTTTTATGAAGATTAATTACTATAGAAAACGCAGAGCAAAGGGATCTTCCTTAATTTTTTGAGACTTTCTTGTTGTCGGTTAATAACGCTTGTCGATCTTTTAACAAATTCGACATACCGCAATATCATGCATTTTACATATCGAAATCACACGTAATATGTCTCAAAATTACAATTTCTACTTATTGAATTTAAATATTCCATGTAGAATAGAAAATTATTGAATATCCGCATCTTGTAAACAATTATTTACCTCGTTTTGCGTAATTCGGACGAAATCGTTGCCTCCTTCTGAGACGTGTTCTTTTAATCGCAGGGAACATCAGAAGTCTGGTCAAGGTGCTGAACGCCAAAAGTCGATCCGGTATAAATTCGTTCATCGTGTACCTGAACGCTGGCAATGCGCGGGGCACCACCTTGACTCTAGACACCGACGAGTCGTACAAACTGGAGCTCGCGCCGAAGGGGAAGATTCTGGAGGCCCGAATTGTAGCGAGAAGCTACTTTGGGGTGCGACACGGTCTCGAGACCCTCAGCCAGTTGATCTGGTGGGACGAGGCCGCCGGCAAGCAGGGCGCTCTTCGCGTCCTCACGCGAGCTTCCATCGAGGACAAGCCCGCGTTCTCGTATCGCGGCCTTCTCGTCGACACCGGCAGGCAGTTTTTCCCCGTCGAGGAACTGAAGAGGGTCATCGACGGCATGGCAGCTACGAAGCTCAACACGTTGCACTGGCACCTAACCGACTCACAGAGTTTCCCGTTCGACTCGGCACAATTCCCGGAGATGGCGAGATGGGGCGCTTACAGCGGCGATCACATTTACACACCTGACGACGTCAAGGATCTGGCCGATTACGCGAGGATACGCGGCGTCAGGATCGTCGTCGAGATCGACTCTCCGGCTCATGCTGGCGCCGGATGGCAATGGGGTGAGTTCTGTAACCCCACATTTTGTAATATTAATTCCCGTCGGACACAGGTAGATTAGCATTTCTATGACATTTTTGACGATCAGGTGCGGAACATGGCTTTGGCGAACTGGCGTTGTGCGTGGATCAGCAGCCGTGGTCGTCGTACTGTGGCGAGCCAAATTGCGGCCAGCTGAATCCTATAAATGAACACTCATATCGGATACTCGAGGGCTTGTACCGGGAGCTGTTAGATCTCACCGAGGTGCGCGATTTGGTGCATCTCGGCGGCGACGAGGTGAATCTCGAGTGCTGGGCGCAATATGGCAACATCACCCTGGCCATGCAGGCGCAAAACATGACGGATCACCACGCGCTCTGGGCGGAGTTTGAGACAAAGATGCTGCAGCGGCTGATTCGGGCGAATCACGAGAAGGTGCCGAGGGCGGTGATCCTGTGGAGCTCGCCGTTAACAAAGAGGCCTTACATCATGATGCACTTCGACCCGAAGATTCACGTAATCCAGTCCTGGGGCGGTAGCAATTGGCCGGAAACGCCGGATCTACTGGAGGACGGCTTCCGGGTGATTCTGTCGCACGTTGACGCATGGTACCTGGATTGCGGCTTCGGTAGGTGGCGGGAGAGCGGCGAGGCCGCGTGCGGTGAATACCGCACCTGGCAGACCGTTTATAACCACCGTCCTTGGAAGGATTACCCGCCGCAGCAGCTGCCTCTGGTGCTCGGCGGCGAGGCGGCGATCTGGAGCGAACAGACCGGGCAGTCGTCCCTGGGACCTCGACTATGGCCCAGGTCGTCGGCGCTCGCTGAACGACTATGGTAAATAATATAAGCAATAAGGTAGCAAAAACACATGACAAAGCGATTTCTTCTAGTGGAAGTTTTCTACGGGAAAATTTTCTTTTCCAGGAGCGACCCACCGACGAACAGTTACTCCACGGACGAGAACGTTTACACCAGACTAGCCATGCACGTCGAGGTCCTGAACAGCAGAGGCATCAAAACGGAGTCCATGTGGCCACACTGGTGTTCCCAGAATCCCGGGAAATGTCTCTGACCGATCGTTAGAGATTCGCTAATTGTCCACCAGCCGCTCCACGAGTACCGCACTTGCGGCGCTGATAAGAAACATATAAAAACGGGGCTCCAGAAGAAGCGGCGACGTCAGCCGCAAGTCCTGTCGGTGGTCGAAATCGATCTCTTCCGACGCGCAACGACATCGCGTATACGTGATGATCCCTGGGATCTTTCGATGCACATCCTGCCGACAAAATTGACAATCGTTCCTGCTCGATAAATCACTCGACGGCTTTCCGACGCGCGAAGAACGAACGCCGAGGCGAACTTCGGTGAACAATATCGATATAGCGAATAACCAAGAAGCTCTCTCTGCGTATACATGATCTATGCTGCGATTTTATACAGGTCGGCAGCGGATAAGCCGTGATTTTGAACCAACGCGTTAACTTGACGTAAAGGAACGCGTGTTCGCCGATAACGTAATTGAACCTCCCGTGAGGAGGTTTGAAATCAAGCTTCGCGCAAGCTTAGTTTTATAAGCGTCTACTTAACGAATCGAATTATTGTAATCAAGTGGAAACCGCGAATGTTTCTATCAATGAAATCGTCTTTGTGATTATCATCCATAGGGTCGCTTGGAGTCCGAAATTGTACGTCGATTATGAATGTCGCAGATCTTTTAATTCCTCTCGATGTCTAGAAGATATCGCTGTTTTCGAGAGTAAGTTCGATGTCTAAAAATATATATGATGACGTTTATAAATTATTGCAACGAAATCAATATATTCGTTACGATGTTATTCGTTAAGCTGTTGTTTGTGGTCTCGATTTCTACTGCGTTAAAGTACAAATATATTTCACACGCTCGAGCTTTTCAAGACTTTTTCCAGCACGATACTTGCTTTTCGACGAAAACATCACATTCCCCTCTTTCGTTTGTCGTTTCGACGATGCTAGAATTCTGAACGGTACTTTGTTATACATTAACCGTTTAAATCACATTATATTGCATGACGATGCACGATTGAGACAAATTGGACCAATTGTGCATCGTGTCCTAGTATCGAAAGATGACGAGGCACTCGTCTCGTCGATCGAGGCTCAATTAGAGTCCTAGCGAGAAGGAGCCTTTAAAGCGAAAGAGAGAAGGAATACGACCGCGGTACCAACGCGCAAGAAAGCTTATCGCGTTATCTCTCGGATCCCACCAATCGAGGGATACCGAGACTATCACGATCGTAGGCTAGCTTTATCACTGGAACGCCTCGGCCAGGGGCAATTTTGTAGCGCGTAACTTAGCTTTTTAACAGATTGAGATTACATTACTGAAAGTATAAGTAACAAGTAACGAAAAAGGCGCGTGTATGTGTGTACGCGTGTGCGTGTGCGTATGTGTGGCGGTACGACAGTTCTGAATCTGATGTTATGATTGGTCGATTGTGGCAAATAGTGCTTGTGTGTTTGCGACTGATCTATATTAAAGATTAACGTACATAATGAAAAATTGATATCAGAGAGCTTTAGATTCGCCGACTCGTTGGCGCGCGACGCTAACCGAACTTTCTACTTATCGTCAACGCAAAAACGCTCAGGGCAGAGTAACACGATCGTCGGATGCGCGAACGACACGTTCGAGAACCTTTTAGCTACTCCCTTTATTTCTTAAATAAACATTGCCAAGAACTTTATCTCACAAGAATTGAGTTCAGTGCTATTAAATTATTCATCGAACGGAATTACTTATGAATTTGTAAACAGATCGATTTGAAATAGAAACAGTCGTTATTGTATTATAACAATATGTTCTTATAAAACAATAAGAAAAAATATTTTAATTTTATAATTTCGTTTCAAAAAATAAGAGGAATTCTACTGCTATGTTATTTTTTATTTGATAATGAAATCGCCGAGGTATTTCATTATCGCGCGTTGTAATTTCAAATCGAATGCCGTTCTCGGAAAATGACGTCTGTATCCACCGCGGCGAAAAATTCGACTGATAGAATCTACACAAAGAAACTCGCCCAATTATAAGTAATTCCAATGTGCACGCGATTGTATCTAAACGACGCGAATGATCACGATTGAGAAGCGATCGCGCGTGGAAATTCGCCCCCTTTATCCCAGTACAATGTGGCCTATGAATTAAGAAGACGCGAGTGATTCTTGGAAATTTGTACATACTTCGTAACACGACGTAGGGAGCAACTTATAATATATATATATATATATATATAGATAGGCGTGTAGATAGAGACAAATAGTTAAGGTAATTACTAGGCGAATCGACAGGCGGTTATTTAGGCGTAATAAGTAGACAAAGGCAAATAGGCGAACCGCTCACGGGGGACGATGGGGGCGAGGAATGTAACGTGAGTGTAGAGAAATGGACGTTGGGATGTCTGTACTTATCGATACTTACCGATATTGATGGCTGTAAGAGGAGCTAATTCTCTCGCGCGTTTGTAGATATGAGATTTAAAATAACGTGATAACGTTAAGGATCCTGAATACCCATATTTTATCTTAAATTATGATATCACTCGCAAAGAAATATCCAAATAATAAAATCAAGGACAGAGAGAGAGAGAGAGAGCTTTTGATTGAGTTAAAGTGGTTACCTAATATTTGAAAGATTAAACAGCTGCTGTTTAACTTTGCTATTTTTCAATCACTTTATTTGAATATTCTTGTGACATCATCGTGTAAGATAGCTGACATAGGTATTGAGGATTTTTAAGATTGTAGTTTCGCGCACGCGAATTACTCCTCCGGTTATTTCTTATGTCAAATTCGTCTTAATCTCGATTAATGAAACAGAGCTCGATAGGTGTGGAGGTAAATTGTTACGTTACGTGTAATGATAACAATTTGTCGGTTATCGTTGAAAAAACAAGAATGTTACGGCGATTAGGACGGTGATATTTACGGTACGTATACTTACGTTATGCGACTCTCTTCGGTCCGCAACGATAAATGTATGTAAATAAAACACAGTTGTGTGTGTGTTTTGACGGTTCTCCGAACTGATCCGGACAGAAAGATATACTCTGTTATGACGTGTCTCTTACACGGATTTAACATAAAGTGAATTTTGAATACATCACGCCGTTCACTTTGTTCCCTAAAACTCGACTCCTATTTCCTTATTTAATATGCGCGTTGCATAAAACGCTTGTCATACACATTTGCTAGAAGGAGAGAGATCTCAGGAAAATATATTCTTTATATATATAATATTATATCTATAATATATCTATAATATTTTTAAATTTCAAAAAAAGATTTTTGAGACAATTCATTATAAACGTATTATTTTATTGTTATTGATTTTACCATCTAGCAAATAGCATCTTTTCCTACACAAAATTTTGAAAATGTTCAATAGAGATTTTTTAATTTTTTTTTGCAACTTTATTAAAATTAATATTAATATATGTACATATATCAATATTTATTAATAAATCCATATCGAAAATGTTAATGTCTATTAAATAGTATATCTTTGAAAATTGTGTTACTATATCAAATTACTTGATACAGCTATTAATAATGTTGACATCTGTTTTATGTCGTATCAGTTTCTGATGCGGAAGTTTGGTAGGAATCGAGTAATATAATTAGAAATTCAAACTACCTCTGATCGTTTGAGCTAATATTGACAACAATCTTATCGAAAAGAACTTTCAGAGATTAAGCTTTGATGGATTATATTTATCAGATTAAGTGATTTGTTTGTATTCTCATAAGTTATACATACGTTGCACGATAAACATTTAGTGATTACACTGAAAAAATTGAACGATGACATGCGTTAGGGACGATGATGAAAGAATATGCTGGAAATTAAACATGTTATACGTACATTAGTGGCATCACGAAAATTGAAAACAACGCACATCAAAGTTTCTAAGTAATGAACAATAATGAATACGAATTTGGATGTGCAATGTGATGCAAAAACTTGATATTAATTCGGGTATTAAAAAATATTTAATTCGATATAACATTCTTTAGTAAAATTCCAAGAATTTGTAATAATTGTTGTTTAATACTTTAGGAACCTCACATCTCGATTGCATTAATATATTATGAAACATATTTTCTTTAAATTATTTTAAACCTGATAAACTGGAGAGCAAATTTATTTTTAAATTATAAATTAAAAAATTTAATTCTTAGTTTAAAAAAATGTATATATGCATAAAGTTTAAAATATAAGCTATCTCTTAAATAGAAATTAAATTATGCTTATTGTCGTGTGACTAATGACACGATCGCAAATAGAAATTGCGAATCTTCGATGTGCAACAAGCACACGCGAACAATTCGTTGACTCGCTCTATGTACTCAAGTTTGTTTTCACATGCGTCATTACGAGAGGACGGTCCGGGGTGCGGAAAATCGTGCACGTGTGATCGTCCAACGCGCAGCCGCCCGATTTACGGGGATGATTCTCTGCGAAAGTTTCAGATGATCTGCGATCACGTACACGCACAGGTGCATATTCTGAGAAAGGTGCGTCTCAAACAGTGCTGTTGCTAGTATTCATAACGTGAAATAATTGTGATTGCAATAAAATAAAATATAAGGTGAGAAATAGAGATCGTGCTGTTAATATTAAACATTGCAGCTCACAAATCGATGATAAAAAGATTTGGTAAGGAGAGCGAAGAAATTATTTGGAAGCATTAATTGATGTCATAAAAAAATTAAAGTTTAATAGCAGCGCAACGGTACGAGAAATAATTTTGGTTCTTGGATTAAGTTAAATTTTAAGTTGAATATTATTTGTAGTATTGCTACTAAGAAATATAGCAAAATTATAACATGATGGATATTATTTATATTCATCGTATTTGTTCTTTTTTACTTGTAATTATTTCTTCTTTTTCCTCTTGATAATATTCAAATGAACTAGTCGCTAGTCTTTGCTCATCAAATATTTTTCACAATTAATTTATTACACATTATGCTATATGGACAAAACTTTCGTTTTTTCTTGCTTTTGTTTAAGATTAATTCAAGATTCACCAGCCAGAACAATTTCCAAAACATATAAAATTAACGTCAGAATAGAATTATTGCCATATAAAATCATCGTGATGATTCTGTCTTTAAATAATTATTTCTATTTACGACTTACGTTGTAAATATTTTATACGAGTACCGGAAGCTCTTTGGAATGAGCGAAAATCCATTTGTATAGCATCTTGTATTGATAATGGAAAACTATATAAATGCGTGACTTCAATTTACATAATAATGGATTTGGATTTAAATAATAAAGCACGATACGTCGCGTCGTATGCAATAGAGATGCAATAGAGATTACCAGTTTTGAATCGTGAATGGAATGTATATTATATACATATAAGGACAAAAATTCCGTTGTAGTCGAAAAGTAAAAAAAAAGAACGTAATACATATTTATTCTTCTTGCTTTAGCGTCGGAATGGAAAAAGCTGAAGTGGAACGTTTCTTAGCCGATCAGAGGCACAAATGCGAGCAGTTTTTCGAAGGTGGGCTCTTGAATTTGCATTATTGAAATATCTGTTTATAATAAAACTAAATACTAAAAATTCGGAACGCGATATGACTCTAAAGACAAATTGTGACACAATGTTTCTTGCGAAGAAAGAAAACTACATCTCGGGAAGAAATTTTTTACACGAACTCGGAAAATCTTCTCAAACTTGATTGGAAATGATAGACGATTGATCGGGATCCGAGCCGAACCTCAATATGGTGCTCTCCGCGTTAATTAAAGCAGTCGTTACGATAATCAACGAGAACGCCCACGCTAGGTATGTCCACGTTTGGCGACACGATGTCGGAGCCCATCGGGATCAGCTTGTCTGGGGACAACGTCACTGATGAGGATCAATTGAGGAGGTATCGCGGCATCGCCGACGCGGGCAACGGAACGGAAATTCGTCAATGCCCGCCGTCCTTCGACGATCTGCTCTGCTGGCCGCGCACTGACGCGCCAGGAATAGCCACCTTACCCTGCCCACCGGCCTCGATCATGGGGTACACCGATCTCGCGAATGACGACCTGAGAGCGTTCGCGGTGGCCAGCAAGGTCTGCCTGGCGAACGGCGAGTGGTACCGGAACTCAAACGGCGTATCCTGGAGTAATTACAGCCTGTGCGTGCTGAACAGCACGCGTTACGTTGTCGAGAATAATTATTCGCGATGGTACGAAACGCCGGCGGAGTTTGCGCTACTAAATGTAAGCTTCGTCCGCGGCATCGATTTATCGAAATCGGGAATCTGTTCGCTTGCTGATTATAATTTAATAAATCACGATCAAATTAATAGATTTTTAAATTTTTTTAGAGAAAAGATTTTATATTTATTGATATTATAGAAATAAATGCAATTTGACTATATGTAAAACGATGTTATATATCAAATTTTGAATCTAAAAATAACGTATAATTTAATATTCCTTCATGAGGTATTAAGATATATAGATGAATTATTCTGTACAAGTATTACATGTATATACTCTCTTTGTAGATTGCATCTAAATATAATTAATTATTATGGCCAAATTTTAGAGTTGTTGTACGATTATTACATTATAATAAGCATACGTGATACTATTTTTCCAAATCAAGCTTTAAGCGCGGCATGAATGCAAGATTTGAAAGAGAATTTATTTATACTATTATTTACTATTATACTATATTATACTATTTTATTATAGCTGTTCATTATTATGTGTTGTTGACAGAAATGGCTACAGATTATCAGATTGGTGTCGCATATTGGATACATTACCTCGTTTACCACTCTAACCGTAGCAATGGTAGTTTTCTCCTTACTCAGGTAAGTGAGTTTTTCTCACCTGAGTATACCCGTTATTTCTTTCCAATTCCGTTGAGAATTCTCCACTTATCGCTAATACGTTTCGCGTATGTACGTAGGAAACTCAGGAATCCCAGAAATAGATTGCACATGCATCTGTTTGCGTCCTTTATTATGAGAGCTTTCATGGCACTCCTTAAGGATTGGAGTTTTATAGACGGCATCGGATTGGCCTGGGACATCGTGGTTGTCGATGGAAAAGCTGCTTTTATCAGGGAATATAAATATGTAAATTGCACCGTTGATACAATTACTTTATTATTTTAATTTTCATTAATTATTAATTTAATTTTTGTTATCATTTCGATTTTATTTCGACTTTAATTAAATTATTTTACTATTTCAACTTTAGTCGTAAATGATTTTTTAGTTGAATTTATCTGAAAGTCCCTCTGACTCTCATAGATTATTTTCTAGTCAAAATGAATTATCGGATTAAACACGATCAATTTTCAAATATCTGTGTAAAAACAATATTCCTGTCTTTGTTCGATTTTTATTTTTCTCCTGAATAAGTCATCTTCATTTTCGCATTAATCGACGTTCTCAGACCTGGATCTGCAAAGTCATCACGAGTCTGTGGCAATATTTTATCGTGGCAAACTATGCGTGGATCTTGATGGAAGGATTGTATTTGCACAATCTGGTTTTCCTGGCGCTGTGCACCGACACCAGTACCATAACGCTATACATCGTGCTAGGCTGGGGTAAGATAAGGGCAAACTTGCTTAAAACTATTTAGAGCCTAAAGAAATCATTGGACTCAAATTTTAAATCTCATTGAATCGTGCGCAGCTTATTACTCAAGTTTTATTCCGTTAAACATAGGTCTTCCCGTCTTGGTAGTGGTGCCATGGATTATAATACGTGTGACTATCGATAACACTCTCTGCTGGATCACCAATACCGATTCCTCCCTGTTTCTCATCATAAGAATACCAATAATCATATCCATTTTGGTACGTCGATTTCGTAATACGACGGGGGGGGGAAGGGGCATTCGAATAATTGTAACGGATATTCAAGCTGTCTGCTCGTCTCTTTCTTTCAGTGCAATTTCCTACTGTTTCTCAATATCGTTCACGTCCTGCTTGTGAAGCTGAAGATGTCGGTACATCTGCAGCGGAAGAAGATGAAATACAAGTTAACAATTAATCCATATATGTAACTTCGTTACACGTCATTTTATATCAACTTTAGAATTTCTTTATTTTTTAGAAACTTCATTAATTTCGTTTTTTTTTCGATATGAGAAAAGATTTACGGAAGATCTTTTGAAGAAAAATCTAGTTAACGATGCTTTGTTAGATGCGTTTATATTCATTTTTATTTTTCATTCAGGAGATGGGCGAAATCGACTTTGGTCCTGGTGCCACTCTTCGGAATACACTATACCTTCTTCTTGGGATTGTCTTACCATAACTCCCGGGTGGAGCTCGTCTGGCTCTTTTGCGATCAGCTGTTCGCATCCTTCCAGGTATTTATGAACGCTGGAAGGATCTACCTTTCTGCATAATTTACGTATACCTACCCACGCGCTATTTACCTTTGTAGGGCGCCTTCGTGGCTTTTCTTTATTGCCTGCTGAACGGTGAGGTCAGGGCGGAAATACGTCGAGCGTGGAACGCACGACGATCGAAGAAAGAGGTCGATTCCTTCATCTCCGGGCATACGAAAAATTCGAGGGACGGAATCAATCGAAAGCGGCATCGATCGGAGGGCGATGAAGGCACTATTTTCGCGATTACAGCCATGAAAAAGTTCTCACTGAAAAATATCAAGTAGACATTCAATCAACTGTCTCTCAACGTCGCGAATAAATTTTATTTATATAAATCTGTCTAAATATTTAAAATATAAGCATTAACTGAAAAAATAATAAAAATGTCTGGAAATAAGAAAAATGAAATTATAAAGTGTGAAAATATAAAAATGTTTACAGGAATTAAGTATCTTTAATGTGGATCCCTCGTAAAAAAGAATTACTAGTGCAGTGATAACACTACTACATTTCAGTAATGTTTTTACTGCACTAGCAGTTCTTTTTTATTAGGGATATATAAATCTTATTGTGTAATTTTTCTTTTTATAAATATGACACATTACTTATGCTACACTTTCCTAAGTGTTTGAAATATTTTAGTATATTTGCTGTATAAATAAATGTTTCAATATGTACGTCTAAGTTATAATAATGTGTATTAAATACATATAACGATAAAAAGAAAAAGGAAAGGATTTGAGGAGTATTCATGTTTCTACGCAAGACCGAAAAAGAAAATTTATTATTTTACTTATTATTTCTAAAGAGTTAATTTAGTCGAAGAATAATCTTTAACGCACATTTAGATTGTTACCGAAATATCTTTTTAATCTTTCATATATAATAATATTTGTGTAATTTGTAATATAGCGGTGACGTGTGTGTTTGGTGAAATGAAAGGGAAAACCAAAAGGGTTTCGGCCGTGAAAAGGATCGTCGCGGTAACGAGGTGTGAACTGTCTCATGACACCCGAGACGACCGGCGGAACACATTAATCGGGTGCATCGAGCAGGGCGTGTGCCACGTCCTTTATTGTTGTGGCGAGGATCGGTTGTGTCAATGCGTATTATACACGTGCACTCGCACGCGCCTCGTCGTAACTCTTGGTTGCACGCGTTCAACCCTCGCGCGAGCAATTTCCGAGATGGGTGTCGGCTGCCGGATTGGAAGTAGATTAAAGTCCGATTGACCAATTTGCATAATTGCGGGTTCCGCGGTTCTGTCCCTAAAAAGCGGGGGTGGCTTCGTCCTACCCCTTTTCCTCAGTGCGCGCCAAATACGAGCCTTTGAAAAATGAGCTCAAGGGAGAATCGATTTTTCTCTTGAATTCTCAATATGCATTGAAAAAAGGAAAGCGGTAAAACTGATAAAGTTAAAATTAAAATTACACAAACATACACAAGTAAAAATTAAATCAAAGATTAAACTGAAGTAAAATATATTTAAGACAGCGTTGTAACTGAAATTTAAGCGAATTGAAGAATGAAATTCTAATTTCTCTTCTTTTGATTTTGAAAGTATTTGAATTTCTTTTATATTCTCCTTGTTTTCAGGAAACAATCATAATTCGCAAACTTTGCGAAAACTAATTTTAACGCGTATTCTTTCTCAATTTTAACGCCAACTTGGCGTTATCAAATTTATCAAATTTTGTCGAATAGTAAATTGTCAGACGCATCGCTGACTGTTTTAAGAGACAAAAGATTGCAACTACACGTTACTGTACAAACGAACTGAGCGGATACTGGTTTTGTATAGACGTGTTCTGTGGCGGAGAATGCGACTGTGATTATTATTATAGCCGAATGGCGCAGATGTGACGCGTTCGCCACCTGATCCTCCGAAGAAATCTATATTACTCCGATGAAGCCACCCTCAATTTACTCTGTGCTTCTACAAAAAGTTTAAGATAAACATCACAATTCTCTTAAAAAGAGAAATAAACTCTTTTCATGACAAATAAAATTACACGCAATAATTTTATTTCAACATCTTTCTTATAGTTGTAGTCAATATTTCAATTATGAAATTAATTAAAAAGAGTAATTGAAAGAAACGCGCTATATTTTTCGTAATAAGTCGTGGTTTTAACTGAAACTTCCATGAAACTTGTTCTTTGATACCTGATAATACCTCAATTTTATCACGGACGCCAACAAAAGAAGGATGCGCCATTGATCTCTGATCATGTAGATTAAATGTCATATTTAGTACAACTATAAGAGAGATGTGAACTTATCAAATATTTTATTTGCATACGTACTTTGTGTTAAAATACTATTGTTTCTGACGACGAGGAAACCCGGCGTCGGTTTTCCAAAACACCTTCAGCGTCGAGACGTCGAATGATCGATAAAACCGTCCTCGTATCCGGGAGGCTGTGTAAAATACTGTCGCGTGAATTACGAAATGCGGCGGAATGGCGACGTGGCGTCAGGTGTCGGGGCGGGTTCGCCGGGATGTCTCTCGGTAGTCGATTGGAGAACGCTCGGGATGCTGTCAAGGATGCTGGGGAAACGAGAGGGCGAGGGAGGCTGCGGCGGAATTAAGGGCGTGGTTACGGGGGATGAAACAGCCCCTACCCGCGAACTTCGTGCAGCCGGACTCACCCTTCCCTACACCAGTTTTTCCGCCCGGGATGCTGTTCACCGTCTCTCCCGACGATCTCGTCGAAGCCGGGAGATCGAGATGTTGTCAGAGGTGATCTTGTTGCCGCGGATAACGATCGACGTCGATCTAATCGCGATCCGGAGTCGATGAATGAACGAGTGACTTAACGAAGTGAAATATTTTGAAGAATCCCCTCTCGTGTTGAGATCAATAATAAGAGAGAAAGTGACTGGAAAAGATTTCGTGCGCGATTGTTTAATCGGTGGAGGAATTTAATTGAGAACGATAGAGAAAAAAGAGAGTGATGTCGCTTCAAACCGGATGAGAAAGGGCGAAAAAAATCTCGGAAATCTGTTCTTTTATATCTTGGAGGACTATGGCAAGTGACAAATAAATAAAAACATACATTAATTGTTATATAAAAGTAGCTAGTCTGTATATGCAAAACATAATTTTATTTTATAAGAAATATTAGAAGTATTGTACGAAAATTTCAGAAATTAAATTTACTATAATAATTTACACACCAATTTTACAAAAATTTCTTGAATTAGCAAAATTAATTTTTATTTTCATCAAATAAAAGCATAATTATTTATTATTGATTCTTTCTTATTAAATAAAGATTTCTATTCGAATTTTAAATTATATTTTAATATAAATATATAGGTTAAAATCAAGCTTTGTGAGAATTATAAAGTGCATCTTTTTTACACAAAATTGAGTTCGCGTAAAAGCGTGCGGTGTAAAGTCGTAAAGATAAAAAAGGAATCCACAGGGAATTGTATCGATTTGATTGGATAGCAGTACCGCGATAAATATTAAAAGAAGCGCCGAGAGGATTTGTCGCCCGAAATCTCGTGGTTTACTTTAAAATATTAAAGAATCTCTCGGAAAGAGAGAAAGAGCGTGGTGAGCGCTCATACAAATCGCCGGTTTACCATAAGAATCAGATCGGGCAGTATTCGTCCGGGGTTGCTTTTCGTCAATACTTGATGCGAAACGAGCCACTTATGCGGATCGCGAACTGCGTTTCACTCAATAATGCAACGCCTTCCTCGTAAATCGACCGTTTCAAAACGACTGTTTCGGTGACACGATGAAATTCCGTAGTCTCCAAAATTTATGAACCTTTCGTTCCTCTTTCTTTTGCTTATATATAGCGAAAAGTATGATGCGTTCTTAATATCTCGCTTTATATACTGAAGCTATTTCTGACTATCCTCTTTTGCGGCTATAATTCTCTTACATAAGTTACGTTTGTGTGCTCGATAAATATTTGGCTATCCAATTATCACCGAACCCCAATATTCGGAACGTAGGGCGAACCCTTTTGTGCTGCACTTTTTCGTAGCTTTCGCAAATCCTCAGGGACAACGATTGCGAAAAATTTGATTATTATTTTGTGTCTGTTAGCGGCTTTTTCTGAAAATCGTATTTTTGAAATGTTATAAACGTCTGAACATTTATATAATTTAAACTTAATATTAATATACAGAGAACGTTAAAGTGAATATTAATTAATATTTTACAATTTGCAACTAATTTTAACGACAAATTGTTTTTGACGAATCTGCAATCCGAGGGTGCTTGACTGATTTCCGATTTCTTGTGATTTCATACGATTTTAACGTGATTTTAAAGTGATTTCTAATTTTTTTTTATATTATTTGAAATGCTTTCAAACAATTTTGTTTGATTTTAGATGATTTCAAATAATTTTAAGTAATTTCATGTTTAACTATGTAATTTCAATTTGATTTCTTAAAGATTTGATGTTAAAATGACTTCAACTGTCATCTTCTAGAACTGTCAAAGTCTTCTAATTTAACTTTATTTCAATGATGGGTTGATTTCATGAGTAAGTAGCCCTTCGCTGCAAGGTTTTTCTGCAAAAATATCAAACTATTTTTTTTGTAAAAAAAAAGCATTGACTACACATTTATAATGCAACAAAATTAAATTTGTAATTAAATTTATCGTCCGCGTTCTTTTGTACTCGATTGACAGTTATCGTAACTATAATTGCAGCGTGCTACAAGAAGCGAGATAGCAATGTTCTGTGACGCGAATCTACGTCCGGGGCGAAGGTGAGGAGATAATTTTTCGCGGTAGATCAGACTAAACCTTTTTGAGAGGGATATTTCCGAGACGCAAAAGCACATGAAGAGCTTCAATTGTGATTTCACGAACGAGGACAGAACGATACCCATGGCGAACAGCGGCCACGGGATCGCCGTTAACGGTGTAGGAGCTCCTGGTACGGGCACCCTGTCGAGGGAGGAGAGACGCAGGCGAAGAAGAGCCACCCAAAAGTATCGAACCGCACACGCTACACGGTAAGACCACGATAAGCGTAGAATCGAAATTTCGCTGCAAAGACGGACGAAGACAAAGACGAGGAAGCAAAGAAATATGATTGCAAAGAAACCGCTTATGACATAATTCTTAATCGTATTATATACTTTAAGAATTACAAGAGATTCCTCAAATCTGGAATTTTTTCAATGAAATTTAGAAAAATTCTTCACTGACTGAAATCATTCTTTAATATTTTTCATCCTTAATATCATTTCAAATAACTTTCGCCTTTTTCTAATTTGAATTATTCAGTAAAAATCGTTGAAAAATTTGATTTTTTATAGACTTTAGTAATGGGCAGAAAGCTGCAACATTTTTCTTGATATCTAAAAAAACTTGTGACTTTAGAAAATTTTAATTTTATCAAGACAACTTAATCATCCTTATACTAGCAGAATTTATTCCAGCGTTTTAATCGATACATCTCTTATGTTTTCATTGACGTCACAAGTTTTCAATAATGCGCTCTCTCATACCCTATTGAAAATGATATCCGTAGAATTTGTTCTAATTTAAAAAATGCTGCAGTATCATGTGTTTGAAATTTTTTCATACGCGAAGGAAGGATCGCTGCTTAAAGTGGATAATGTTTATCTCGTCAGGGAAAGAGTCAGAGTGGAGGCGTTCAATTTGGCGTTTGCGGAATTGCGAAAGCTGCTGCCGACGTTGCCGCCGGACAAGAAGCTCTCGAAAATCGAAATTCTTCGGTTGGCAATCTGCTATATCGCTTACCTGAATCACGTACTCCAAGCTTGAACTCGCATACTCCGATGAGCAGAGATAGAAGGCTTAGAAAACTGCAACGTTTTCTTCATTATCATCACGTGCTGGCCGGAACGCGGACCGACCGTTTTTCTAAAATTTTAAGAAACGTTATATTTGTACAGATAATTTTTTAAATAATCTCCTCTCGGGGGAGACCAATTATTTTTTTCATTTTCGATTTCTGGCTGGATCCTCAAAATGCCCGATCGATTGACACATTTAAAAACGATAAACGAAGGAACATGTCATTGTTTGATACATTCAACAATCGTTGAAGATACAACCGTTGTCGATTGTGAATTGCATTAACTGTGCAGAGTCACATCGTTTATCGGGCGACGTACTCGTCAATATTCTCGAATCTATCCGATTCCGGCGGATTAGTAGGCCACCTCGGGACAATGGAGGGGCTTCCCATGGGACCGCTATCCCTTCACGTACCTTCAAATTCTCCTACTACCCTCGACAGTCATCGTCCGGCCGCGTATCCGATCGTTGTCGATTATACGGCGTACGAGCTTAAGTGAAAAAGAATGGAATTGCCGACGAGAAGGCCAACTTCACGGATCGTCGCCTTGCGCCACTCTCGTTTCCCGGGTTCTCTGCAAATGCGATTGTGCGAATCGAGCCGCTCGGAGATCCGCGTGAGATTGATTGTCCTTGCGAACTAAACTGGCTTCCCTGCGAAAAAGAAAGCGCAGATGAATTAGAACAGGAAGAAACTCATTTTTGTCGAACTAAATACCTAATCTTCAAAATGGTCTTAACATTTTTTTTTAGCTAAAATTAAGGCAAAAAACTGCGTACTTTTTTTTATTTGACAAATTAAAACTGAGACTTTTACTGCTTTAATGCAAATTTATTTTGAATGAGAGAAACAAAATACAATATCCAATGAAAATGCAATTTGTGACATTTGAAGCAAAGAATTTTTTATTTGTTTTCAAAGATCAAGATGTAATTAGCTAAGTCGTTTGGATTGTTTCATTTTGGCCAAAATCAATACTTCATAGACAACGCTAACACACGAGTTCCTCTTTCATCAAATATGTAAAGAGATATGCGGTATAAAACGGACGAATGGCAATGACAATGTTAATACAGGTAAATGATCATACAAAAAGGTTTATCCTCACGTATGTTCATTTTGCGGACAAGCCAATTAAGAGGCGATCGATAAAGCAAATATATATATATATATAGGTGATTTGTTAATTCGTTTGCCATTTTATTAATTATCTCTTATATATAATTATCGGTTTTACAAATAAATGTCGACGATAATAAACGAAAATTATACTCTTCCCTCAATAATTTTATAGTGTACCGCAAAATATTCTGTGCAATGTGGAATGTTAATCCAATACGCCCGCAAAGAGATTTCACGACGTGTGATTCTTTTCGTTCCTTCACAAATTAAAACAGTTGAGCCGTTATTATCATAATCGTTCAAACGAAACATACGTTTCCTAAATATTACAGAGAAATTTGATCCGCTGAGTACACGCGCACCGAATGGCATTGACGTTCTTGGTGTTCGGTACGCGCTGCAATGTATGTAAGTATTTAATTAGTAATCGATTATGAGTTGTGACTGTACTACATATTCGATAAGAAATAAATTACGAGGGAAGACAACTCTCACGCTTATCTTTAATTTATCTCATTCTCCGCCCGACTTTCCTTTTCTGTTTGTTGCATTGCTCAACTATTTTTCAGGAATAAGCAGCTCTTTCAACGTAAAAAATTCCCCACGAGGGAGAATAACAGTTTTTATACAAAAGTTGCAACGTTTTGTGCAACAATTATGCACGTTCTTATTTCCTCGGTGCGTTTTTGGATTTGCTAAGCAACATGTAACAAATACACAAAGTGGCACCATTGATCCATCTCGTTTTCACCTGGATATCCCTCGTGCATCTGCAACGTACTCAGCAACGACCACGTGCGTCTTCCGCGGACAATGTGTTGTCGCTGATCTCGGATGGTATCTTATAACGTTATTCGCATTAAGGGAATAAAATACGATCCCTGCGCGCACGTTTGTACAACAAATTACTCATTGCTTTGCGGGCAAAGTTGACTCTTTTTATAGGTATACTATATGATCGCTTCAAAGGCCACCGAGGGACTCGTTTGCGCACGTTCGTTTAACACACCCGCGTTCATAATAACCGTTTATGCTCAAGTGTGCTCTTTCGACCACCGAAGGTGGATCATTGACTTGCGAAAGAAGTGAACAAGGAAAAGCAGGAAGAAGCGAAGACAAACAGTGAATCACATCGCGTTGCCCGATTTGACATCAACTATTTTCGCATAGTTGATCGCGAAGTATAGCACATTGCGTAATTTAATATTTATATACGTGCGTGATATTATATATACGTTGGTATTATTTAATTAAATATTATATTTTAATTACATGGCAAGTGTAATTAATATAATTACTGCTGGAATTATAACACGCTTTTGTAATTAACGCTGGACGCAAGAAGAATTTCGTTCGAATAAATTGAGAAACAGATCGTGCGAAAGAGAGAGATCCGACGAGATGAAGCTATTTGCGCGTCCGAAATGCTTCTCCGAGGCGGTAGCATTGGTGACAAATCTCAACTATCTTTTCGGACTTCGTATTTTTGAGTATCCTTCTGGTCACCCAAGACCTTTACTCAGCCTGATCTATCTTCTGTTTATGTACGGTTTGTATTGCGGTGGCTCGTTGCGCGTGGAACAGGCGTATTACGCAAACGTTAGACTGATGAAGCTGGAATACGTTCTATACGGAGTATTGTCGTACGTCATTGTTATATCCGTGATACTCAAGATGTTATTGGGCTGGTGGCATACGAAGGTGAGGTGAATGAAACAATGCACGATGTCTCATGAGCGATTGTTATACCTCAGTCATGATATACAAGCTGTTTATAGTTTTAAGATAAAATTTATACCTACCGACTATGCGTCTGTAGGTATAAATTAAAATATTGTAAAATATTGTAAAATATTGAAAATATCTCTCTAAATTTTCACTCATTTGATGTGAGATTCACTCCAAAAGAGTGAAAATTCACTCCAGAAAATTTAGAGAGATCTAAATTGACATATGTAAAATATTGAAAACATCTAAATTGACATTTGCAGAAATTCAAAGTTTGTCACAAAAAGATCTTCGAGATCGACGAAACTTTGCGAAAGCTTGGATTGTCGCCAAACTATAACAGAATATATTTCGCGACGATCGGAACGGTAATAACCTGGATTACAGGCTCCTTCATTATGTGCATCGTGGTTTTCATTCACTTAAAGATACGCACGGATATGTTTAATTCAATTTATATTGTATTGGAATATACGTATTCGGTAACTGTCAATGCTATTAACGTTTTCGAATTCTATATATTTGTAAGGTATGTAAATTGATAACAATTCAGAAATTTACATATTTATCAGATGCACTTTCTAATTAAGTTGTGAAAAATTAATTGTCTCTATTGTTCTGCTTAACATGACTTATCACACATGATGATACGTTGATTTTATATTGATATATGTATATAGGTTCGTATTCAGAAAACGTGCTAACACACTATATAGTTTACGTTACTTTAGAATTTCGGAGGTAAAAGCGCGCATTCATCGATAAAGCGCGTTTTGAATACGGATCATAATCTTTTTTATACTTTCATTTCTATAATAATATCGTTAG